CGATGGTTCCTTTGCCCTTCACTACTATTTTTGCTCCATTTCCAATTCTGACATTTTTGTTGTAGGTTGCATCAAGATCTTTGAATAATTCTCGATCGTTAGTCATGTGGTTTGTGCAACCACTATCAATTAGCCAACTTTCTGTTGATCTTGTAGTGGTAAAGCAAGAAACAACAAAAAGATCTTCTTCTTCACCCTCTTCAACAAGAGCTTGTACATTCTTTTGTGTTTTTGATGACTTGTAGATTTTCTCCACATGCCCTAATAATCCACATTTATGCCATTTCACATCTGGCCTCCACCAACACTTCGTCTCTGGATGATTGTTTTTCTTACAAAAAGGACATGACTGAAAAACATGAGAGGATTTGCTATCATTTTTGTGGTTGAAAGACTTACCCTTTTTTTTCAGAAATTTAGCTATGAAAGCCCCTTCAATATGACCTTCTTCTCTCATGAGTCTTCTTTGTTCTAGAGCCTGAAGTGCGGTCAAAAGTTCTGCCAAGGTAATAATAGAAAGATCTTTTGAGTTCTACAAGGAAGTTAATGTGGCTTCATATCTTTCTGGAATTGTTACAAGTATTTTTTGAACAATTCGAGAATCAGGAATATCAGTGCCAAGAAGCCGTATTTTATTTGCAATGCCGAGAAGCTTGTCTGCATAATCTTTGATTGTCTCCGAATCTTTCATCCTTTGCATATCAAGTTCTCGAACCAGATTCAAAGCTTGCATTCCTTTGATTCTCTCACTTCCTTCATACTCTTCCTTCATAAACTTCCAAATTTCATATGTCGTTTTCAACGTCATTATTCTATTGAAAATGACTAGAGATACGGCTGTGAACAAAATTGATTTGGCTTTGGATTTTCGAAGCCTCCTTTCTTTGTGATTTTTCATTTGAGAAACCGTAGGATTATCTGGCAAGGGAGACACTTCGTAGTCCTCTTCTACCGCTTCCCACACATCGTTAGCATCTAGATATGCTTCCATTTTGACAACCCACATTTGATAGTTTTGTCCATCAAATACAGGTACAGAAACGATAGTAAAGGATGTTTGAGATTTCATCTTACATGTGGTGGTTATTTTGTGGTTGTAGGTGTTTGTGGGTTATATCACAGATCCCGTAAGATCCTTTTTGCTCTTTATACCAATTGTTGTGGTTTTAAAGTATAAGAGACAAAAAAATAAAAGGGAAACTGATAATTTTATTGAGCATAAGCAGTAAATATTTATACTACATAATTTGTAACCAACTTTGAAAAATATCTCCTAAACTAATTAATTAAATAATGCATAAAATCTTCCTAAGAAAGAGGATAGAGATATATTTTTATTTAACTTCTTTGACTCCTTCAACCAAATGTTGTTTGAGTCACAAAATCTCAACAGTGACATGGTCCTTATACGACTTTGTAGGAACAAAACAAAAAAAAATACCTTGAAAATTCAATGCAATAAAAGTCTAAAATTGATATTTCATTATTGTTGTATAAACAAAATAGTAAGCACCCATATTGATTGCTCTGCATGTCGAGTTTACAGGTAAGGATTTTTTATATTTTAGATATTATGTTTTGGTTCTTTAACCGATATTATGTTTTGATTCGAAATATATTCAGATAAGATAAAAATATATAACATTAGGCTTTGATTCAAAATTGAAGTCTATTATTTACTTTATGCTTCATATAGTTTTTGAACCGAGACCTCTTCTTATATTTTTTAAAAAAAAACAATCAATTTCTTCTCATCCTCACTATTTTCCATCATAGAACCATTGTGCTCTTATCAACAAACAGAGTTATCATTACCTTTTCCACCTCCACATTGAATAAAAGAAATTAAAAAAATATTTGCATTAAGAAAAAATAATTATGAAATAGAAAAAAATATATATACAAGATGAAAGAACAAGCCTCTAACAGCTTTCGAAATGGGAAGAAAAGGGATGTTTGTAGTGACAACGCGTCGACATACTTCACGTTGGCTACGAGGAATGGAAGGAAGGAAAGTGAAGGAGTGATGGCGAAGGTGGTAGCGTGGTTTGTGGTGACGAAGAAGGGAGCAAAGTAACTCTTGTACTAGAGAACTGATGCAGCGGTGCAAATGAAAAAACTTTAGTAAAAATATAATTTTAACCCT